AAGAATGGAAGAGACAGTCACCATCCTGAACTTCCTTGGCAAAATACACTTACTTGCACCTCTTTGATACAGGATTAGACAGAGTACAGAGTCCTCCATTCTTCTTTGATTCAATAAAAATACTGGGAGTAGAACCTAGTGAGGATTTGATGATTTAGAACTCATTCTATAGCTCCTTTTCCCAGCGAGACTGCTACTTCCTCAAAGAGAATCCAAAATGACTGCGTGAGTATTAGAATCCCTTTCATTGGGAACTGATCAAATTCTATAGCATAACAATTTGGAATGATAAGGAGAACCCAGGAGTCTGATATTACATTGGACCACTGAATATAAAAAGGCTTAAACTGTTTCCAGTAGGCAATGATGCAGGGTAGTTAAAGGTGCTTGCAGGAGGCTTCTGACATTCTTGTCTTAATTAGTATGCAAAGGCATCTTGTAGCAACTTTGAGACAACACTTGGCCCTCTGTTTTCACGGGGGATCCGTTTCGGGCACACACACACACACCAAGAAAACAGAGCGCATCCCATTGATTTAAACGGAGGTCGCCTCTCCGTAAATATGTAAAACCACAGACTTGAAGTCTGTGAGAACGGAGGGGCGACTATAATTGAAAGAGAAAAGTTGGTAGCATGAGTGTTAGCACACTTGAGTTTATTTCCTCAGATGCATGGGATGGACTCAAGTCTATGAAAGCTCATGCTACCAACTTCTCTCTTTCAGTTTAGTCTCAAAAGTGGTATAAAAATCCTTTGCATACTGATTCTCTAGATTAACATGGCTATGTTTTTGAATTCTTAATTAGTATGACAAAGTTGGTATGAAAATCTGAGCAGGTCTGAGCAAACGCAGGGAAGAACCCAGTAGAATGGCAAGGGTGCCAACAAAGAAATCTTTCTTCTCAGTTACCACAGTGTCTGTACAAAGTTGCTATCTTGTTCAAGGGCCTATTACTCTCGGGCCACCAATTACTACACCACCTGCTTTAAAAAAATTACAAGACATTTTACGAACAAAATCATATACATCCATTCTAACTTGAATACTCAAATCAAATCATTTTATTACAGCCATTCGGCCAGTATAAACTTGAATACTGTATCTTAAACTTTGGCCCACTGCTAGTCTCATGTTACTGGATACATTTCAGTTTGCATAGTCTTAGGATGAGAACAGTATTCTTGAAAACTGCTATATTCTTATTGACTAAATGCCCTTCCTGGTTCATAAACACAGCTGGCAGACTAGACTCTAAACCAGATGGCTGATCATTAGCAGCACTTGCCTTAACAAAAAGACAACATACAAAGTTGCACAGCAAAGTCTGGTTATAACTATAATAGCCATATTGCCCACTGGTGCTATCCCAAATTGCTGCTGTTATATGCTTTTTGATGGATCACCACAGAATCTGTGCTAACTGAATAAATTGAAATGGCACACTCAATGTCTAAAATATTCTGTACCTGGAGCCATCTTAGCAGTCAACTAAAAAATAAATCTGTAATCAGCATCCCCTGAAATTTTAAAAAGTGAACAAGGGAGCTCTTACAACATTATCCTGAGAAATGGGACGAGAAATTTGTATAAACAATATATTATAGCAATATATTGTCAAGGAACTCTGAATATGCAAGAAGGCAGGTACCCATGGTTAAGGTTGCTGAGATAGGCAGGGCCTAGGCCAATTTTTTTTTTTTTCCTAACAGCTCTATATATTCTGAACAAACTCTGTGCAGGCAAAGAAAACCCATATGAGTGAGTCACAGAGACCACGAAAAACCCCTGGCTTAGAGATTCTTCTGGACACAATGTTACCTATGAAGACACAGTTGGTTACAAGGCTGCTCTATTTCAGCTGCTTCACCAACTGGGCTCCTTTCTGCATAAACTGCTCTTGCTATAACTAGTCATGAGCCATTTGAAGATCCATATTCAGAGCCATTTGCAGACCCATTGAGAATGCTAGTGATTACCTTTAAAGCAGGGGTAGGCAACCTTTTTGAGCCGGGGGCCAGGTTGCTGTCCCTCAGACAATTGGGGGGCTGAATCACCAAAAATAAATTAAAAAAAAAATAAAAATAAAAATAAATTATTTTTAAAAATAAAAAAATAAAAAAATATGCATGCACACTCTTTCATCCCCAGAAAAGCCATGGCAAAACCCCTGTGGAGATTTTGCCAAGAAAACCCCAAGAACAAGTAATAACAACAATAATCAATATCATCATGGCAGGCGGTGGCGGCAGTGGGGAGTGGTGGAGGTGGCAGGACTGGCCTGGGGGCGGTCCAAAGGCCTTGGGGGCGGTCCAAAGGCCTTGGGGGGGGCGCATCCGGCCCCCAGGCCTTAGGTTGCCTACCCCTGCTTTAAAGTCTTAAATTGGGTCTGGGTTATACGAACATCTGGGCCCTATAACTGGCCACAAAGGTTCAGCTCATATGCCCACTGGTAAGCCCTATTATGCTAGCAGGCACAAGAGAATGGTCTTTTTCCACTGTGGCCCATTCTTACAGACTTTCCTTTATGCACTTTTAATGACTATTTTTCATTTCATTGTTTTAACTTCCTTGTTTGAGAACTAAGTTGGGGAGGTTTTGCCTCAAAAGACAAATTAGTACTATTCCTTAAAAATAAACATAGTAATGAATTATCTTGGAAGTTAAGCAAGTTACTTGGATAGGAAACCACCAATGAATAACAGGTGCTGTAGACTATATTTCAGAGGAAGGAACTGGCATAACCATATCTGAGTATTCCTTGTTTAAGAAAACCCTATGAAATTCATAACAGGTGACTTCAAGATACATACACACAGAACGAATGTAAAAGCCTTGGTCCAATATAATGTTTTTGCAATTCAGAATTTATATATACTACTAGCAAATGCCACCCCTAGTTTTTCTTTTTATATAGATTAAATTATGACAACTTTATAAAATCAGAGTATCTGGCTTAGCATTTCACTGTTCAAGGTTGAATGTAACAAAAAACACATTACAGTTACTGTACAGTACGCCCGCGCCATATGTGGGCTTGCTATACATAACTTTGAGTATACATGTATGGCAAGCCTGAGAGGACAAAATGGTGTGTGTGTATGTCGCAGGTGTGCATGCGGCACTGCACACAGAAGCACGACGCCATTCATTTCTATGGGACTTCAGCTTACACTGTTTTTCCCATATGCAGGGGGGGTCCAGAACAGATCCCGCACATGTGCCAAGGGCCCACTGTATATCCAAAACGTGATACATCTGCACCTCAGCTACTAACTAAAATTGATAAATAATGGGGAAAAGGCTATTAACATAGTAATCATGAAGTGCAGAACAGAAAGAGGCTAAGAGGAAATATGTGCAGACTAAACCAGCTCACTCCTATTGTAATTAAAAACAAAACAGGTAGTGTCATTCTATTACTTCTACTAAATCATAGCCTAGTTTATCTGAGCAGATTAAGTAATGTCCCAAACAGATGCCAGACTACAATGAACTACTATTTCATTAAGATTAGTTACATATGGTTTCTTCACAGCAAAAACTAGCAATGTTGGTTAATACATTCATCCGTCCTGATTTGCGGGAGATCCGTTTCAGACCCCCTGTGAATCAGAAAAAAACGCAAACACTCAAGCCCCATTGGTTATAATGGCCACGTGCTCCTGCGCGCAGCACTGTACATGCGCCTGGGGCACACACACCATTTTGTCCCTCCTCGCTTGCCATTCGCAAAGGACCAAAACCACAGATGGCAAGTCCGCAGATGAAAAGGGACAAGTGTATTCAGATCAGAATTCTTATTGCAACTATTTTACTACCAAAGGTAATAAAATATTAGTTTTAGTTTTCTGGCACAGATTCAGCTGGTAAGTAAACTTGCAAATCTTGGCACTGAAGACACAAAGCTTAAGAAACGGCTCAACAATTGTGGCCTCCCAGATGCTTTTGTACTGCTGCTCCTTTAATCCCTTACCACTGGCTACACTGGCTGAGGTTTCTGGGAGATACAACCTAACAACAGCTGGTGAGCCACAGATTTCCCCCCCCCCAAGTCTAAGAGAAAGGAATACTGCAGTTTTTATGTATGTAAATGTAGAGTTGAAATGTGTACATCAAGTGATTAGAAGAACAATCATATATACCTGTAAACCCCCCTTGGTACGCCTGTATGTGTCTTGTTTGGAACACTATGGAAGGAAGTATGTTGTATCTGCTTCTGCAACCCACTCACTAGCTGTGAAAGAACAATAAGATACTCACAGGTGCAATTCCATTCTCTTTGCCACCAATCAGAACTGGGGGAACTATATGCTAGTGGATGGCTGCATGCCAAATTACTTGAGAGTACCATTAGTAGATTCCATCTAGCGGATGCTTTCTGAAGTTTAACATACTAAAATGGATTTACTATCTGGCAAGGCCTAAAAACCCTAAAGGTATCAGATCGCATCTAATCTTAGAAGCTAAGCAGGGTAAGCTCTGGGTAGCACTTGGATGGAAGACCAAGTGCTGTAGGCTATATTTCAGAGCAAGGAACTGGCATAATCAACAGAGTTTTCAATGTCTAAAAAACAACCACCTTGCAACATTCATGGAGTTGCCATACATCGACAGGCACTTGAACGTATACACACACACACACACACACACTAGTAGATCTGACTCATCAGACCTAAATGATGTTGCAGTATTTTTGCCATATGGTATTTATGCTGTAAAATTCTGCTTTTGTCTTCCCTTCCTGGAAAGTTTCTTATGTGTGGCTATTAGGCTTGGGAAAAATGTGAACTGGGCATACTGAATAAGTCAGTATGAGTCTATGTCAGCATCCTCCTCTTGCCCACTTTTGTTTGTTGTTGTGTGCCTTCAAGTCATTTCTGACTTACGGTGAACCTATCACAGGGTTTTCTTGGCAAAATTTGTTCAGAGGTGGTTTGCCATTGTTTTCCCCTGAGGCTAAGAGTATGTGACTTGCCCAAGGTTACCCAGTGGGTTTTATGACCAAGCTGAGAATCGAACTCCAGCCTCCAGAGTTTCTGTCCAACACTCAAACCACTATACTATGCAGACTCTTCTTTTGGATTTTCTCTACAGTTTCAGAAAATCAAACATGCTATTTTTCTCTTTTGCCTCTAAAACAGATCAATGCATTTTTCTAAGCACCATGATATCCCCACAATGTATTTTTGATACTTATATATTTTTGTATTGCACCTCTGGATGCCAGCACATGCTTTGGAAGTTACAGTGAACTTCGAAACTTCGAAGTTACAATGAACTTCAAAACACCAAAAAGTAGTACCTGAATGAGGACAGAGCCCCAAGACAGGCAGACTGCTTAAGCACAAAGGATAAAAGGAGTTTGCTAGAAGTAGCAATCCTCCCCGATGCTCTGCATTTCCTACCGAAACAGATACTGAAGGATACGTTCTCACCAGCAGATTAAACAAGACCATACTCCCTTTGTTCCCAACCTTGTTCCCAAATACCTTTCCTGTCCACACATATTGGGGTCCCTCAGATCCTGTCGCTAGTTCATCAATGATGCTGCCATCAATCAAATTAGCCCTTTTCATCTTCTGGATATCAAAACAATCCACCACTTTGAAATTCTTTTTCACTCCTTCCAAAGGACTATTAATTTCTCATGAAATCACCTTTAGTCTGGGGCTAGTTTTAAGTTATAAATACAGGCAGGAACCCATAGCCTCTTTGTATACAGTCTGCCAGGTACACAGTTGACCCCTCTCCCAGCAGCTGTGTTCCATGACTGTTACCCTCAGACTCCTGGTTTGAGCTGTTCCTGCTTTCTGTGGATCTGTTTTCGAGACAGGTGGCTATCACCCTCAGTCCAACCCTCAATCTCTGCTATCCCCTTACATGTTTCCATTTCAGTTAGCTCTGAATGCTGGATAGTGAGTTATTCTAGTGTCTTTGTTCTTTCATAGTTCTTCTAAATAAAAGTTCTCTTAGTTCACTCATGCCTGGAGTCTCTATCAGTATTAACTGGAGTATTAACTGATATAAAAAGGTGCTTTTGGTACTAAAAGTTACCCACTCTCTTGAAAGCCAAAATAAAATTTCCCAACATATTAAAGATAGACTGCTACTATTAGTGGAGGCTATCTAAGCCCCATACCTTTGTAACAATTTTACAGTGTGTGGCTGTATTTGTAAAAGTTAGCAAATGAATTATTAAAAAGAAAAAAGAAATCAACGCTTGCAAGATGCTTATCGCAGTTTCCAATACAGCCAGAAACAGGTTAAAATCCAGGTTCCATACATTCCATTTTGTAATTACTAAGAGAGGCTTGTCTTTATAGACATGGTTCACACTTTATAGACATGGTAAACAATTTCTGAGTTACACTACAAGTGCTTTCATTTTAATTCAGATTGGAGGCAAAAGAGGATTCCATTACCATTGTGTGGGGAAAAGTGTCCAAGGGCTGCTGGACTGGGAAGTCTGCTGAGTAAAAAATGCAAGATGGTTACCAGATGGTTTAGCATATTCTCGTCTCAAAAATAGATTAGATCAATGAAAACTATCCACCAAGACATCACTGACTGGCATCAAACAGACTGGGTCTAAAAATACCTTCACAGTCACATCTCACCAATCTAGGAATAAGAGAACTGAAGAAGTCCTGCTTTGTTCTAATGAAAGTTTCATGCATACAGTATTTGGATAAGACAGACCCATGGGTATCCTTTTTAAAATTCTTTTCCACTTCCCACTGGATTTATATCCACAAATGGATTTAAAAACTATTCTACAGATCTTTTTACGCGTTTGGAGACTATATACAACAGTGTATGAAAATCCTGATACATTGGCTTGTGAAACAGTAACTAATCATATTGGATTAAGAAGGACACATGGCAAAATTAAAATTCAGAAAAAAATTCCCCTTGAGGGGGCATAACCAACCATTGATCATGGCAGACGCATAAAACTTGAGCAGAACAAGATCTCATCTTTTAACAAATAATTGGGAGTGAATTTTGCCCAACTTTCATGATCAAAATTACATCTCTAATGCAAGGAATTACCGTAAAATGTTAGTAGACCAAGCAATATTGGGTTTCTGCTCTTCTCCTTAAGAGCCAAAAACTCAAATGGAGGATACTCAGCGAGATGAGACGAGGCTTGCACAAAGGCAGGAGGGGAAGCAGAGGTGAAATCCCCTGACACTGGACATTTCATTTTTGGACCTCCTGGAAAGGCTTCATGAGAATCTAATGCAATATTTACAAAAAGATTGGGCACTAGCCCTAGAACCATTAAACTCACTCACTACATTAACAGCCTGTATTAGAGATATAGAAGATACAGCTAATGTGGCTCTTGAACAGAGACATTCTCACAAAACCCGCATACAGAATTTAGAACAAATGAATGAATACCTTTCAAACAAGATGGAAGATTTGGAAAACAGAAATAGTGGCTTAAATGTAAGAATTCATGGAATTCCTGAACAGGAGGAGCAAAACTATTTTTCTCCTTGTTGGGGGTGCTTTGATTGTGAGTTCCTGCATGGCAGGGGGTTGGACTAGATGGCCCTTTTGCTCTCTTCCAACCTTATGATATTGATTCCTTACATGGCTAAATAACACCTATCCAGGACTTGGTCTCCTTTTGGCTAACATAGAAAAAGCACAACGAATATCAGCTCTCAACCCAAGGCAAAATACACTCCCCAGAGACATAATCATATATTTTATACGTTATCCAAAAAAAGCACAAGTACTGAAGACTAATAGTCTTTTATAATGACTCTGTCAGACCACTACAACTAAGACTGATCTACTTCACATATGCAAAGCCTTAGATATTAAAGTACTCCTGGACCTTGAGAGAGAGGCAAAGAATAATGCCTCCTCTTCTGTTGCACCCAAGCCCAAGCGAATGATCAAAAC